ACGAAGGGCTAACGCTCGAAACGTCAGCTTTTATAATCGTAACAGTGGCCAATTTACCATTTCAACTTTATTGATATATTCAAATTATTTAACATGAATATCGTGACTTTGGTCCTTTTTGTTTGTGTGCCCTTGGGGTTATTTTACTTTGGTCTATTTTGTACATAGCTGTAGCTCCCCTTGGGTCTTTCGTCATTTTGTTGAATAGTAATAATCCTTATTCCCCTTTATAACGTAATACACATCATCTGATTGGTCGATTCAGTTTTCAAGCTGATGCTTTATACATCCACCCATACCTGCTTTAAAAACAAGATACAGTTCATGAAGGACTTAAAAAAACAAAGAAACAGTTGTCGAACATGGCAGTCTATGGTTTAACAATGTTTTGTATTACTTTTGAACARGTAATCAGGCAGAACATTCGGGCAATGTTTTCGTGTTTTCAGCGTAAGGATTTCTTTTTACTTATTTTAGCATCTGCACATGTAAGTATTTACTGTCAGTGAAACCTCATTGTTATTTGAATCGGTATCGGTTTAATGTTCCCTTCATATGTTTTTCCGACAAAACGAAAAGTACAATAAAACTTTGTTTGCGTAATTATGTTTTTTTTTTTTCACTCTATATTATAAGCATTTCTATTATATTTTCATTATATTCAGCCCACTCATGCATCCCCTGATTGTCTATTTTTACAGTCGCCAGTGGCGCATATAACCATCAAAAGCTCTTTTTGATATGTTGAAGAAAAAAACTTAGACGATTCAAATCAAAAAAAGCACTATTCAAGTCTCAATTCGGTGGCAAATACATTGTTTAGCTACAAAAGCAAGTTTCTACTTGAGTTTCTCAGAAATAGAATGACGTGTCAGTGTATGATTTAGCGAATAATTTTAATGACAAAGAAAGCATTTCATGCGTGAAAGATGTGTCACAACTTGCTTGTTTGCGGTGGCCACAGTATTTCCGCATAGAGCCCCATACTTCACTCCCCAAACAGTTCTTGTTTAAAGAAGACATTCACGAAAACAAAAAAATGCCTTTAAGCATTTATTTCATTAAATTATTATATTATTTATGCGTAGATATTAGACGTTTAAGGCTCCCACAACTCGCGATCAAACTTTATTACTTTCAAAATGCAATATTCTCTCAGTCACGCCACAACATATAAAATGTCGATGTTAAAATTAACGAAAGCAATAACATACCTGAGCTCTCTTGGTCAAAGTTTTCTGTTCACCCTACTGCTTCTTGGAAAGCAAACCAGAACTCTATTTAATCTCCAATAACCTTGAACCGAATATATATTGCGTTCTTTTTGCCTGCGTTAAAAAACTCTTGGTACAATGGAGGGATCCAAGTAAGTAGCCATAAGATTCTTCTAAAATTTATCTTTAATGGAGCAGTTCGATGGAATACTTAACACTCTAGGTACAATGGAGGGATCCAGCCAAGTAGCCATAAGATTCTCCTATTTAAAATAATTCTCGCTGATGTCCCTACAACATTAAGCTATTACTATTAAGATTTTTTAACATTTAACATATTTCAACATTTTTTCTCTCATTTTGTTAATTATTATTGTTATTTTATGAGGATTTTACACTATTGAGTTATGGATGCACTTGGGAAGTTTGCTAAGCACTCAAGAAGCTACAGTCGCTCGAGGCTATCGCCTCGAGCGACTCTTACGCTTCTTTCGTGCTTAGTAACCTCCCGTGTCCATCCATAACTCACTAGCGTACGCTGTGGTGTTTACCATTTGTTAAATACCGTGTGCTTAATGACTTCGCTGGCTGTACTTATCTTTCAGTCGTCCAGTCTTAATAAAAATCGCATGGTAAAAGCAAACAAACAAACATAAACAATGCAGACGAGTTTGTCCCATGTTTGGAGAGGTGAAACTACTTTACGAACTTGAATAATCTTAGCCGTTGCACCTTCATAGTTGTGAATATGTAAAGCAAACTTTGGTCGTAGAGGAAACGAAGATCGTGACTCTTTCGTTGAGTATCGACAAAATTCTTAAAAACCTACAGCTTCCCTGTTTTAAATTGCTTATTAATAAGATTAATTTTACGCTCTCAACGAGTAAACCGCCACGACCAAACTTTGCAGTTGACTCTATCTTGTTTGTACACTTCAAGGGTTTGTTTTACCGCAACAGTGCTCATGTCGTAGAGCAACAAGAGTCATTTTCAATTCCACTGGCGGGCTGGACCGTCATTTTAACTTGTGAAGCGCTTGACGTAAACTGACCAATTTCGGCTTTCGTGAACTCGTGTGTGTTTTGCTCTGGGTGCAAAACAATAACAAAGAGTTTAGGAGCGAAAATACACAGCAGAAGTCCATATGCAGTGACCAGGGCTGTGGCACATGCAACTATGGTAGTGTAATATCCCTCCAAGGACGAATCCACTGGATAAAATGAGACCCAGGATATTAGTAAAACGTTCATGGCGAAGCCGATGTACCTGGCTTCGTTGAAATTCTCGGGAAGATGCCTCGCTTTGAAGGCATAAATGGAGGCTAATACAGAGAGGAAAATGAAATACGAGAACATGACGGCTCTAAAGACCATTCCGACCTTTGTGCGGAATGGCAGACAAGTATGGAAGACGTGTGTTTGTGGTCGCACCTCCTGGTGTTCGTGTGGGGGATCTATCACCAGCCACAAGACGGTGAGGATAACCTCGACCATGTTGAGTAGGGAGACGACAAGGAATTGACGTCTGCGGTCCACGACGTAGCGCTTGAACCAGTTTGGGATAACTTTCGCTTGGAATGCTTGCACCAGACGGTTTGTCTTGAGGAACAAGACTGATACACACGCGGTGTTTACGAAGTATCTCCATGGATACACGATGCAACAAAGAACCGTACTGGGTTGTACGAGATGAAGCAAAGTTAGCACGAAGCACAATGCGATGGTGAACAGCAAAAAGAAGCTCAGTTCTCGATTGGAAGCCTTCACCAATGGGGTGTTACGGTTCTTCAGGAAACTAGTGAAAGTCACACACGTCCCAAATAGGCCAACCGTTGTTAGAAACGTGAATATTACCGCTGAAGTGTCGCTCCATCTAATGTTAATAACCGGTAAGGGAAGGCATGCCGTACCTTCTTCGTTTGACATGTATTGCTCTGGACATTGGGAGCAGTTCTGGGAACTATACTCCGTGCTGATGCTACCGACTGGACATTTTATGCACTCCCAGCAGCAAGATACAGTCGCAGTTTGCTTAGTTCCTGGAGGACAGCTTTGGCTGCATACAGACACCGGTTTCTCGGTGTCTTCCAGGTCACTCCACTTGATGAGTGTGCTGTTTATTGTGAGTTTATCACGTGCCACTCCGATCCATGTTCCCACTTTAACATTTTCGTAGCGATGGCCTCTTTTCTGAAAGTTCACGATGTCGTACGAAGAAGAGAAAGGATCGCCGTTTTTGGTGAACTGTATCCGTCCCGTGATTCCATCAAATGAAACATTCCTGAGATAAATTAAGGTGTCCTCAGGTTTGATGATAGAACGTGTGCTTGGACATTTTCCATTCTTTAACAGCCCACCTGGCTCTTTACACTTGTACATTGAGTCAATGGCATGGGCTAGAGCGTACAAAGCGTCGGTCAGATAAGGAATAAAGGCAGTGTGTAGTTTAGAAAAGGCCTGCTGGTCCACTTTTGCATCATCATTACATGCATCTTTTGAGCCAATTTTCCACGAGCAATTAAGGTGGTTTGTCCAAAACTCTTCCCACCATGGGTTAGCACTGGATCTGGTATCTTTTACTGTTATTCCTCTGAGATGATTCTCCATTGGCTCATCTTTAAAAAGAAATGGCCGTATTCCCAATGCTCCCTTGAGGATGGCAGAGTTTTCTTCCAGGACATCTTCTGAAACTGTTATGGCCTCGCTAATGAGGAACGTTCGACCTTCCAATCCCTGTGCGGTCGCTTCTGCTAAAAACCGTTTGACAGGCTCGTAATTGCTCCATAAGACGACCACTTTGATGTTTTCGGCCGCTTTGAGCTTCTTCACGATCGTTTTTATTTTCCCTTTGTAGCCGGAATGCGTGAAGTACTCGGTAAACGCGACGCAAAACGTCCTGCGGTCGTACGCTTCTCTCTCTAAAGCGCGTAACCCATATCGACCGTACGAATTGTCGATAGCGACGGCTGCGATGTACGTCCACCCGTAATGTTCTATAATATCCACCATGGCTTTTGCCTGCTCTCTGTCAGGGGGTATGGTGCGAAAGAATGCGCTAAAGTAAGGAGAACTAAGTTCCTCGCTGGTCGACAACGGACTCATTGTTGGTATACCAACCACTTGAAGAAGACTCGAAATCAGAGTGCTACTGCTGGAATCCTC